AGGGACGAAAGAGAGGGAGCGTGAGCAGGGGATGAGGAAGAAGGAGACTTAGGACGCACACGTTTTCTACTGGGGACATTAACAGAGAGTCCTACTGATGATCCTTGAAGGGGCTGATTACTTTTACTGTTTTTGTGGTGAATAGTGTTCCAGGGAGTGATCTGACATATCATGTCTCCTCCATTTTGAAGTAAAGTGTAAGGATAGAAGAGTACATTGGATCTGATACTGAGATCAATCAGTTCCTCTTTAAGCTGATCAATGTCTGAAAGATTATCATCTCCATTAATACGAGTGGCCTTTGCTGGAGGAGGGGCTTCATCATGTACTCTTTGACGAGGACGTGTCTTCTGGTATAAAATTTTATCGTGGAGAGTGGTCATTTTATCTCGAGCAGCTGATTGCAGAATTACTGCTTGTCTCTCAGGTGAGGCAGTGTCTTCTTTCTCTATCCTTGACACATAAGTGTGATTGATGGGTAGTGCATTGGTATGAGCTGAGACTGTGACTGAAGGCTGATCATCAGGGACTGTCAGTAATCCATTCAATGGACAATGGGATTGGAGTAGAGCATGGCTTGTGTGATACCTTTTTTCTAAGACTCTACCAAGAGTGCTGCTATCTTTTGAATGTTCCTTGATTGTAGAGTATCCACTAGGAGTAGAGAAAGTGATAGAGAGGTCTTGAAGGTTTGGTAATAAGCAGAGACATAGGACTTCCATGACCTGGATGAAAGAGAGAGGAAAAGAGTTAAAATCGATAATAATTATAGTTATGTACTTTAGTCTGGAGTCTATCATTTTCAGCAATCACTCTGTACTCTCCTTCAGTTATTGAAGAAAGGGAGAGCATTAGCTCACTGCATATCTCCACACCCAAAGCAAAAGTGTGAAACCTAAAATCAAAAGTACATCACAACAAACCAAACAAGGTGAATAGTACACAAATAGTGGATTAATAGAACAACTATTTCTATAACTTGAGGCTTTCTCTAATCCCTATACAGTCCTCTACTAACAATACAATATCAAAGCAAAATTATAGTTAAGAACGTGTAAATGAACGAAGCATAAAGGGACATTGTTTATACTATAAACAAATGTAACACTAGAGTCATTAGCATGTTGATTCAATCGTGCTACATCCAACACCACTTGATTAGGAATACCTAAAGTGAGACACATTTCTCTTTACAATTTGTGTAAATTACATATCTGGAATATTACTAGTAATCTCGGCCGGTATAACAGTGTGAATAATATGATTATAATTACTATAGCTATTACAGCATTAAGGAACACGATCGATCCTTCACCTTTGGTGTCTCTTGACTACAAACACGGCCGGCAAATATGAGCCAAACACGTCACTCTCTTGTTGATAACATAACTAAGAATACATCAAGCATTTGTCAACAGAATATCTGCCTATGGGCAAGCAAGTGTAATGTTGTGTAAAGCATTCAAAGGAATATTAAACCCAATACACAGACTGGTACCAGAAACAAAGGAAAGGATTGAAATAGAGAAAGTGAAGGAGACATAACAGAGGGTGTTTGCTAGACTACAAAATGAGGGCACAACAACAAACAAGAGACAAAGTTAGTGTATCTGAGAACCAATAAGAGGAATGGAGGTCATGAATGTAGTCTTAAATGAGATTAAATGTGCCTAAATGAGTTGTATAATGATTATCAGATTAATTATCATAGGGATAGTCAGTCAGACTGTCTTCAGACTATTCAAATTAAATACATGCAGGGCAGGTGGGCTCCACTCCTTTATTTTAACTAATGTGTGTTCTGCTTGCAAGATAAATGGTCAGAGATACAAGAGAAGACTTACAGTATCCACCAAACTATGGGATACATTGGTAAGAGGCACACACGATTATTATAATCATTATTTGTACATTAATTGCCCTAATTACCTTGTATTTGACTTGTGTCTAGTAGCAAGTTGCAAGATGGTCTGGACATTAGGGACACCTCCATCAGTAATGAGAAAAAAATGACGGAGTAAAGGGGTAGCGTTCACAGTAGGCGGAGACTTCTTGAGCACCCACTGAATTGGAGAAAGGAGCTCTGTACCTCCAAGACACGCCTTCAACTGATTAGCAAAATTGACTCCTTGTTCTATGGTCTTGCATGAGACAGGCATTGAGGAAGAGGAGTGAAATAATATGCGGAATTTAGACCCGAACGCAATGATGTTAAAGTGGCAACTGGGAGGTAGACTCTTAATTGCTAGAACCAAAGACTGGGAAGCATTCTGCATCTTTACTCCACTCATACTGCCGCTACAGTCAACCATGAATATGAACTCTGCTCCAGCAAGCTCGTTAAAGTGTGTGGGCGGGCTGGGAATAAAGAGAGCATCAAGCGATTGGACCCCATCGCATTTCGTGGAGTTATCAATGCAGAGAGGATGAGAAAGAAGGAGAGTTGAAGACTCTGCTGTGATTATGTCTTGTGGTACGAGAGACACTATGACACCCACACACTCCTCATTTACTGTGTCTGGAGTCTCACTGTGACTGTTAGTATCTCCTGCCACAGGCTCCCTTCCAACAGTGACTGTCACTCTAGAGTCTGTCACAGTCTGGGATAGTATTCTCGAAGACGAGTTTGGAGGAGAAATTGATTCCAGGAGTGCATTTGCAGGTATGTCCATTACGAGGTGCAGGCATGTGTGCTTGGTGGGAATGAGGGCAGCATAAAACCACTGGACGAGACAAGTAGACGACTGATTGCTTAGTTCAAAGGATGGAGTGATACGACATATCCAATTGAGAGTAACTCTACTGAGATTAGCAGCATCAGCAATGTATAAGAGCAAGTCATCAGGAGATTGGCAGGAGCCATACTTTGCCATTAGTCTCCCTGCTCTGGACCTCATGGTAGAATATGATGGAAGGTTGACCTTTCTTTTCTCTTCACCTCGTGATGGTCTTAAGTTCAGTTCATTCTCTCTGTCTGTCCAGGAAAGACGGCAGCCAGTAATGTGAAGCTTGCATCTTACCCCCGAGCTAGATGGATGGGAGAGGAGACAAGGGACGTACAGGACAGCTCCAGATTTACTCGCTGCTCGAGTGCTGGAGTCCTGGAGAGAGATAACAGCCTTTCCATGAGCATTGGAACCCAGTGTAGTAAAATGGAGATCACAAGAGCTTGGGATCAACAAGTCTTCATCTCCACTTTCCTCTTCTCTGACAAAGAAGCAGCTAAACATTATTGTCCACAGGTAAAAGTGTGCAATAGACTGGCCCAAAAGGAGGAGAGACAAGCTGTCTGGTTAACGGGAGGTGGCGAGCAGTAGCCAGAGGAAGCCATAGCCCCGAGACCCATAGTCTAGACACCATGACGTCACCCAGTCCCAATGCACGCGGCATGGGATCAAAGGATATAGGAACTTCTTATGGGATGTCCCAATTCAAGGTGTGGCTTTCCCTCTCAATCGCGGGGAATGTGTGTACGCATGCGCAAGAGGAGTTTCCTGCGCATGCGCAGTAGAATTCCCAAAGCAGCAGGACAGAGGCAAGCGTCGTCATCTTCTTTCTCGGCTTTGGTTAAAATTCTCTTGGGCGTCTTCAAGCACTAGAAGCACAGGTCGTCACTCAAACATAGCATTTAAGACTATTTTGGATACAAGACTATATTTTGGACACTTTACTCGTCGTTTGAACTTTATTATTTTCCCCTAAGATGGAGTACATGGTAGATCAACCTTTGGATGCTTTCATACAGACCAGGAAAGGAAGGGGTCGTGGTGGTAGAGGACGTGGTCGAGGAGGTAGAGGTCGTGGTGGGGGTGGTCCAGCTAGACGTAATTCATTCGGAGGTGGAAGAGGAGGAGGAGGAGGATTCCGTCGTCAATCCAATCGAGTTGGTTCATCCCTACACTACACTTACCACTAATCCTTCATCCCAATTGATTGTGTGTGTGTTTTTATTATCTGTGCATGGGTTTGGGGCTGCCGGTTGTGTGGCATCTAAATTAGGACAGACACATTATGTGAATGGGCACAGTGTTGCTCTGATTGTGTCAAGGGCTATGTCACCATTGATTTCTCTCATTCTTTGAGATTTTAAAGTGCGCTTTGTCTTATTTTAACAAGACAGGCACAGTTGGTGACTGTTTTATTAGCCCGGTTGGTTATTTTGTTTTTAAAACGGACGATGACATGAGACAGTACACAATCTGTGGACTCATCCTGCTCTTTCTTTACTTATTATAACCTGCAATGTCCTCTATCCCATTATCGTACTAATATTGATTGCAGCCTCAACGCCAGATGGCCGGGAAATGGCAACACGACATGTACCAAGGCGATTTTAATGGAAGCGCTCAGGTCCAAACTCCCGCCAAATCCGGTGGTACCAAACTACTCATTTCGAATCTTGATTATGGAGTCTCTGATGATGATATTAAGGTGAGGCATTGCTGCTTTTCATGATGGATTTTTTTCATTTCCAAGCTTTAAATAAATTAATATGATTATACATTTTGTTTTAGTCAGTGTACATGTATTTTTACTGTGTAGTTGTATATGTACATGTAGTTTTAAGTTGATCTTTCTTGTCCTGTAGGAGCTCTTTAGGGAGTTTGGACGTCTGAGGAAAGCCGAGGTACACTACGACAAGAGTGGGCGGTCTGTGGGTACAGCTCAAGTCATTTTTGAGAGGAATGTGGATGCCCTAAAAGCTGTTAAGCAATACAACGGAGTCCCTCTTGATGGTAGTGCAATAGGTATTTAGGATCCTTTTATACTCTCATTAGGACGTCCAATGTCTATACAATTAATGGATGGGTCTGGAGCTGCCAAAACCTTCACATCAACTCCCAACAAGCCTAATATTAAGCAAAGGGTCGGGCAGCGTCTCTCTGGTGGTGGTAGAGGAGGTTTTGCTAGGTAAAGGAGTGTGGAGTGTTTGTTGTAGTGTTAACTCTTTGATTTAGGGGAGGTGGTAGAGGAAGGGGACGTGGTAGAGGAGGACGAGGCGGTAAGAAAGAGGAGGTCCCAACTGCAGAAGAGTTGGATGCAGATTTAGAAGCATACAAACAGGTGTTGTCATTAATTTCTTTTGTTTTTACTAATTACATTCTTTCTTTTTAGTCAACTGATTCATGGACAGCTTGACATGCAAAACCATTTGACATTTCTTTGTGTATTTAACCTGTAACTGTCAAACGTAATTTCCCTTGAGTTTTTTGAAATTAATTCAATGTGTATAACAATGATTTTAAAATTGAAAATTTTCATGAACATAGTGGGCATCAATTGGAGTAACAGCACTACCTACTCACGTGTTTTGATCATGTCTGCAGTGAGATTTTGTAATCTTTCTTACAGAATTATTCGCCATAAAACTGTGACAAGGTACATAGGCTTTCTTGTAGACAGCCCTAGCCCAGCATTGTTATTTCCAGGAGGTTTCTTCAAGTACGGGAGTTGTGCGCTCTGGCACAGCCTCCTTCAGACGCAACCAAAGTTTATCCTCAAAAGATTCACGACATAGTACAAGATATTGCTGGATTAACGCTCAAGGAAACGGCACAACTGAATGAACTATTAAAGGTACGAAATTGAAGGCTTTTCATGTTTTATGGGTGGGGATTATTTGCTAATTAAATGCATTGATGTTGAATATTCAATTAATTTTAATTGTTTTTAGGAGACATTGAATATATCCGATGCTCCGTTAATGGCAGCTGCACCTGCTGCACCTTCAGCTACTACTGAAGTAAGTATATTTGTAATTATGGAGCAGTGTCAATTGCAAATTTTTCTGTTTGGTGGGTTCAAATTTGGCAATTTTGTGGCCATCTGCCATTGAGAATGTGCATAATGGTTTCAAATAATAGTCATTTTCTTCATCTAGGCAGAGAGTGAAAAGAAGGAGGAGCAAACGGAATTTAATGTCACGCTCGTTAAATTTAATGATGCCTCAAAGATTAAACTGATAAAGAAGATAAAAGAAGTGATGGAAGGATTGAATCTAGTCCAGGTAATGAGTCCAAACTTCTTGTAATAATATGAAAACAAAGAAATATTTATTGTATAATAGTATCCGGGTTTATTTTGGCATAGTACTCATGCAGCTTATTTTTTGTCAAGCTGCTCAAAAATTGGGCCAAAGATCCAGTACTATATAGGACAGGGAATTTCAACAAAAGTGAAAAAGAGAATCCTTCACTTTTATACTTTTTTTCTGATGCATATACATGTCCTTATGTTGTGTATCAACTTAGAACTAATTCTGATCGAATTCAGATTTTTAAAACTTACTCAACAATTCGGCCAATTACCCTGTTACTGTAGTACAGGGACTTCGGCCAAATTTCATCAAAAATGAAGAGAATTCTACTTTTGTCTGATGCATATGCACATTCATGTTGCATAATAAAGTTTGATTTGATTTTAGTAATGCTATCATTATTATTATTATTATTATTATTAGGCTAAAAAACTAGTAGAGTCTGTCCCCCAGTTATTAAAGGAGAACATCAGCAAAGAGGAAGCTATGAAACTAAAATCAGATTTAGAAGCAGAGGGAGGAGAAGTGACTGTGAAATAAGCAAACTCTGTCTTCATTGTAGTTACTGTGTTATAATAATGTGCATGAATAATTATGAACCATTGAGCAAAGCTATTTCGATGCAAAAGCGAACATCGCAGTTTTGACAAATTTTTAATTTTAATAAAGAAAAAAGTATCATTGTAAGCGATGATGGCATGTACAAAAATTAAATATATAATGCCAATGATTGAAAATAATTATATTTATTTTATAATAATAATATTATATATTCATTGGGTTTTGCCATAAAACACATCACTAAACAGAGCTATTAAACACATACACACCACATGACTAATAAACAACAATTAATATTTTAATTTTGAGAGAGAGAGAGAGAATCTACAACTGGGAATATTTTTGAGTGGCAAAACTCATTGATGATAACCAAGTTACATGTATCAGTTTCTCATAGACCTATTAAAGGTTCTGTCTTTCATTTGAGAGAGTCTCCATTGTGTGTCAGTCATATTGCTTACAATTTTTACCTGCAAATAGAGGTAACTTGTGGAAAGAGAGAGGGACATCTTTATTCCTGAAGACAGGTGATAATGATAATAATAATAATAATTAATAATAATAGTCAATAGGAATGACAATAATGATGACGGTCACACTTCTTTTAGCAGTTTCATTTGTGTGATTGTTTGGTAGAGATAAGAGAAGAGATAGAGAAGGAGAAAGAGAGTACAAAAAAAGAACATAGCTTTGTAATTTTAAAGTCAGTTGAGAATTCACAAAAATAAATTATAATACAATAAATAATAATAATGATATACGACTCTGGCTAAAAATTATTTAATAAATGAATGACTTGTGACATTTTACAGCTAGTGAGATTTGGTAGTAGTAGTAATAATAATAGTAATAATGATAATGGTGAAAATGGTTTTTTTAGCAATATAGCACATTCGTGTGTCAATAAGATCTGCAAACACATACTGTACATGTACATGTACAAGTGCCAGCTAATAATGCAACCAACCATTAAATGAAAGAGAGAGAGAGAGAGAAAGAGCAGAAAACAAAAAATAATTAAAGATTGAGAGAGAGAGAAAGAATTACTCTGTGATTAATTTTTATTGGTGAAATCATGATAAGAGCATTACTCAAAATAATAATGTGTACTAAACCCTGCATGCCATGTATCCCACAAATACAAAAAAGCTAAACAGAGAGAGAGTGAGAGAGATAAAAGAATAACATACTCAGTGTTACAGTGGCAGGGAAGGGATCAGTTTGGCTGGAAAGTGAAACGGAGGGAAGAAGTGTACTAGCATGTTACTAATTAATATCAACCAGTGCATCTGCATCCTGTAGTGGTATGTACGGCTTGACTCCTGCTTTTTTTTTGGGTAATTTTTTTTCGATTTTTTCCAATGCTACAGCATATCATAGTGGTGCTCTTTATATAATAATTATAATAATAGATATGTATTTAATTGACTAGTAGTATGTGGGTTTGCCAACGGTTCTGGAATCCTTAAAGAGTTGGAGAAACAAAAAGAGAACAAACACGGGACAGGACACGAACACAAAAAATTACAATAAATTTTAAAAAGAGAGAGACTCGCTCCTCCTCTCCCCGTTAGAAAAGTCCATTGGGTAGAAAGGTAGAGAGAGGAGGGCTGGAACTAACAGTCGATTGGTGGGAGCTGCCCTCTTCTCGCTGAGCAGCAGTAGGTAGTGGCTGTGATGGAGTGGGAGGCAACACAGAGTTACCCCAAGGACTAGACAAGGAAGTCAAACCAGTTGAGCTGCTGTCGCTTGTCCCCCAAAGAGACATCTGCGAGCTATCACTAGAGGAGCTAGTCCTGGAGTCTGTGCCCCAGAGAGAGGCAGGCTTCTTGACCGGTTGAGGGGAAGGGTGGGGGAGTCGCTGGGGCAGCCATGACGAGGACATCCCGAAAGCAGAGGAGAGGCTGATGTTAGAGGAAGGCGTCCTTTGATCAGAGAAAGAGGAAATGTCAGCTTCCGAGGCGAATTGGGGGTTTACATACACGCCACATATGGAAGGGTTTCTGTCTAGGCCAGACTTTGCGAGAGCAGCCTCTTCTTTGGTAGAGTACCTGATGAGAACTGACTCGTTAAATGAGTTGATTGTACAGGCTAGGACTTTGCCATACTCACTACACACCTCACGCAAAGAAGTCTCGTCAATCTATAGTGAACAAACATTTTTTATTTTATGCATACATGTACATGTAGGGCAATTTTGTCTGAAATAAAAGCACAAGCAAGTAATTTGCATATTGTACACAAGTAGGTTAAAGTGACTGCCTTTAACAAGTTGTCTAGTGGATAATAAGCTTAAACTTCCCTCCCTCCCTCCCCCCTCTCTCTCTCTTACCTGAGGTGTAACATTCCTTAACACAATGAAGCTATTGTGAGGAGAGAGCTGCAATGGAAGAGATGGTTTACGTCCCATTGCTCCTCCTCCTCCTCCTCCCCTCCAGTCATTGTAGCCAGTCCCAGTGCCACCACTTGATGCTGTTGTGTTCAACAATGAATCTGAACTTTCCATTGACCATATACTACCTATAGGTAAACAAAGGAATTTAAATATAGTTTTTTGTGCACATACATGTACAAGTCACAAAAAAGTAATACAATGAAGAATTCTCTCAGAGCCATTTTTGTACATGGTCTCTGGCCAGATTTTTGAACAACTTTAAAAATTCATAAAAAATCAAACTTAATCAGAATCAGCTCAAAATTTAATAATAAAATTGTATTTGGCTAAATTTTGATGACACATTTCATCATTATTTACCTGATGTTGCAGGCATGCCCCAGGGATTACCATCAAAGGTCCATTTGTTTTGCTGTTGTTGTCCATAAGACCCTCCGTTCCCCCTATAGCTACCACCACTGACCGAGGACCGGCCACCATAATTACCACCAGTGGGCGTAGGAGGGAGAGTAGACGAGTAACCACTGTAGCTGTGCTGGTGTCCAAGCTTAGGACGTCTTGAAAATGACGAGGGCTGCTGGACATGCATCTGTGACTGCTGGGGATGATACTTTGACTGCTGTCCCTGCTGCATACCAACACCATATCCTTTATAAGCACTAGAGGAACCAACCCCTCCTCCTACTGTACTGTTAGCATAAAAACTATTAGAGCTCCCATTGTAGCTGTTTGATCTGTTAAACTGGAGGGACGTGGGGGCTTGGCTTGAGAATCTTGATGTCCCTTGAAACTTTGAATCCATTCCAACAATACCCCCAGTGGAAGGATGGGGATTACCAAAACCAGCAGAAGGCATATAACTTGAGCCTCCTCTATTATAAGCAGAGTAGCTCTTCTCACTGGGCTCAGCCCCATACATACCAGGAACAGTGTAGTCTCCACTAGGACCTGATGGAGTGCTGGGAGCGGTGAGGCTGTGGTGAGGCTTGGAAGAGTGAGGATTCCAGGGAACGCCCGGTTTGAACTCTGGTATCTCGTCAACGGAGCGTACAGAGCTAAAGCGACCACTGGAAGTAAACCCGCCACCGGAGGAGACGGTACTGGTTGTACTGGTAGAAGTGTTGAGCAGTAGAGGAGGAGAATCATTAGCGTCTTCTTGTAGGATGCTCTCAGACTGTGATAATGTGCTGGTATCATCAGTTCCAGTAATGGTGGCTCCACTGCTGCTTCCCTCATCCACTGACGTCATCACCTTCTGAAGCCGTGAGAGGTTCCTCGCTGATAGCTTACCAACTTCCCCAGGAGGAGGAGGGGGAGGAGGATCAAGACTCAGGCTCTGCATTGAAACACTTACATCAATCCCGCTGGTGGTGGGCGTGGCCTCACTACTGACCCCACCCAGAACAAGATTGTCCTTTTCGTCTTTATCGTCAGGGGAGAGGTGTTGCTGCTGCTTGAGTATCATTTGATTGATAAGTGCGAGCTGTTGATGGGCTCCCTTTATTTGAGTATTAATCTGATTCAAGTTAGCCATGAGGAACTGATGCTGTGGTGCCCCACCTCCTTGGGGAACAGCCTTTAACTGACTGATCTGTATCATTAATCTCTGCCTCAGCAACAAGTACTGGTTCAACTGCTGGCCCAGCACCTGTTGGAGATTAACAAGATCAAGCCCAGTATGGACGTTACCCCCTGCTCCTCCGCTATTAGTGGTGGGTGTGGTCAGCATAGAAGTGCTAGGGACTGAGGGTGGTCTGTGGTTCCATGGTGACTGGAGGGATGGGGTTAAGGGAGGGGTGGGGCTTGAAGAGGTGGATGAGGTAGCTATGAAATAATGAGAGGAGGAGGAGGAGGGAGGAGGAGAGGGACCTGTCTCGTTTGATTTGATTGGCGGAGCAAGATTGAGGGAAGGAGGAGGAGCGGAAGAGAGCTCCTGGTCGTCCTCCTTGAGTGCTGATAATGCTAAGAGATCCCCTAGAGCAGCTTCTATATTGTTATTATTCATTTTGAGGACCTTCTCACAGGAAGAAGGCTAGAGAGAAAGGGAAAGAGAGAGAGTGAGAGGGAGAGGGAGAGAGAGAGAGAGAGAGAGAGAGAGAGAGAGAGAGAGAGAGAGAGAGATCAAAGAGAGGGAGAAAGAGAAAGAAAAATAAACATAAAAAGTAAAAACATTTGTAAGATACTGCAAGTATAATTAAATGTGTGGTTGGTTTGTTTGTGGTTGCTTACTGAGAATCCCATATCAACCAACAATTTGACTTTATCAGTGACATTGCTCCTTTCCTACAGCCAAAATAAATACAATACAACTGTTAACGAGGTTTCAATACTAATACATAGTAATAATAATAATAATAATAATAATAATAATAATAATAATAATAATAAACAAAATCCATTTTAAAGATCATCATGATCAGTGATTCCTCTAAAATGTTTGGAGGGACTTTTACAGTAAAACAGAGGTGTATGGGTACAGAAATTCGAGAGTATGAAATTTTGTGCTTTTGTATAAAACTCTTAATTTTTTAACTTCAAATGTATGAAATTTTGTGTTTTGTACATGCACATGCATGATATACCCAAATTTTCCTAGTACTAATTTTCATGGTTAAGATATCACCCTCAAAATGATCAAAATGAAATACACTAGGGAATTTCATACCCACCCATACAGTATTTACCTTTCCTCCTTTGCTGACGGTACTCCAGCCATTGCTGCCATCAGACAAGTTCCCAGGGCCAGTCGTCTCCCACTGGTAGGCCTCAGAGCCATTCTCTCTGCCTCCGTTCCAGCCCTGGTCTACCTCAGGACCTCCCCATTCATCCCCAGTATCACTCCAAGCTGTGACAAGAAACAAAAAGATCATTTATAATATCAGTAGTAATCCTTTAAAGGGATTACAGTAACACTCTGCACTATTCATACCATTAGTTATACTATACACTTACATTGTCCCCTCCCTCCTCCAATATGAGGCTTATCTTTCTTCATCTTTTGCTTCACATCGTCCGGAATACCCCAAACTTCGGTACCAGTATCAATCCCTGTCGGTTTAGGGCTCGGCAGATCCCCCCATCCACTCGGCTCGGAATGAAGACTCTCTATTGCGTCATCAAGGTCCATGACAGGCTTCTTCTTTCCAGAGAACCTACTACTGCCCCGCCCTATCCCTCCCCCTCCATTGCTACTCACTGAAAGACTGCGGTGAGACTCGTAGCGTCCACCACCCATTCCGGTCCCTTTCCTTGGACTATTTGATCTATTGTAGTTATTAATTCTAGTGTTACTAGTCTTCCAACTAGAGCTGCTCCCTACACTGTTGACTGATGAGGTACTACCCATGCTATTCCTGCTCCTCCAAACTCCTCCTCCCTCCCCACCCACTGTAGAGTCCCCTCCGCCATCAACAGACTCGTTGCTTGGTGACTTTACATCTCTACACGAGGTAGTCTCCAAATGCTTCTTCTGTCTGGCAGACTCGTCTTCCCAAACTTCATTCAATTGTCTACCACCCCCTGTAGCCTTATCAGGCCCACGGGTACTGCTACCTTGAAAACCATCACTCATCTCGTTGCTCAGCCCCTCCTCTGTGATGGGGTCAGAGTTAGAATAAGAGTCCTCGTCAGAGACCCAATGGTTGGAGGATGACGGCCATGTTTGGTCGTGCGACTGCTGCTGACGGGGCTGGTTGTTCCAAGGGCCATCGCTTCCTCTCCCGCTAAACTTGTTAGACTGGATTGACGGGTTGCTGTCAGAGGCACTGTCAGGGCTAGTGGCTGAGGAGTTGGACCAGTTGCTGTCTGGAGCTGATGATGAAGAATGTGGAGGCCATTTTGTAGAGGATGTGGAAGCACTACTAGTGGTTTCTTTAGACTTTTTGCTACCTAAAGAGAGAAAGAGAGAGAAAACATGATTAAATAGCTAAAGTGTCTAATAGACTATTGTAAGGAACCATGTGTCAACAACACAATGATAATAAGCCATACAATGTGAGAATAGAATTAAAGACAGGCAAACAGAGTCACTGGCACACACTACATCAAAGCCAATGAAAGTATGCACACTAAATATAGTAACAATTAGTTGTAGCTATATATAGATTCACCGGCTCATTTGTAAAACAAAAATGTGCCACATTAGTAGAATTACAAACAATAACAAATAGAGCATTAGCTAAAACACACAAGAAAGTGTGTGTGAGAGAGAAATGGCTTTACTAGCATCCCCAAATACAGTCCCTACATCAATACACAGATATAGACTTATTAGTCCACTGAAGGAAGTAAATACAATGACACAGCAAATCATAATAGCAAGGCCAGCAAGTTTTGTGGGAAGAGGAGAGAAGGGGTAAACAGACAAGAGTGAGAAGCTACTAACTGTACAAAGCTAGTGTCAACATACATAATAAAAATGATCTCACTGTGTTAATTCTATAAACTGGCTGCCCTTAATTAGAACTGTCCTTCATCAGAACACATTGTAAGTACAAATATATACATACATGTATGTATGTAGGTGTACTTGTACACGGATATAATTTTCTTTATTATAATGCTACACATACATGTACACTGTCATATAGTCTATGCCAGGTAAGTTTGACATGTAATACAGTACATGTACATGTATCATTACAATAGCGCACACATACATGTACATGTATATACTTGTGCACATTTCTAGTACATTAACAGGACGTTAACACAATTAACCTCTTAATGGTTGAGCTATGCTTAAAAATACCAAATATCATAGACAAGTGCTAGCATTCCTGTAACAAAAATTGCCAACCATCAACACAAACAGCAAGTGTGTGTGTTGTCTGGTTTTGTACGCGTGTCGCTTGAGTCCAAAATTAGCATATCTGGTCCAATTGAAAGCACAATGTTATCAAAATATGCTTAAGGAAATTTTAAAAACTCTTATGTCATGATATTCAAAAACATGCAGACAGAGAGAGAGAAAGAGAGAGAGAGGGAATTGTGGAAGAGACACGAGGTACACGACCAATTTGCTAGTTTACTAATAAACGGACTGTAAAGGGCAGTGTACAAAGCTAAACAAAACAACCGACACAAAAACAGAAAGTTGAAATACAATTAAAAGAGGTAATAGTGACGTTTTGGGGAGTCATTAGGTGACTGTATACTGAGGCACTTAGCAAACAAAACCACACTAATGTCAAATGATATACAAACTAACAGAGAATATTTCATAAACTTTAGACTAATGAATGTTGACTTTAACATTGAATAACATACATGTACTGCTACTCTTACTCTCAATTTGTGTCCCTCTCTCTCTCTCTCTCTCTCTCCCACACCTTTACATGTTCACTAAAGGATACAAAGTGACATACAAATTATAATGAAAAAGTCACTTACTAACATTCTTTCAGCTAATACAAATTAACAATGCACACACACACACACACACACACACACACAAACAGAGTCATACCATCCAAATTCTAAAAATACCGACTGATTTATACTACAATACATCAATCAGCAAAGACAACAATTTTAACTTTGATCTTTTTCCTTTTCCATCTTTGACAATCCCTCTATACCATCACTCCTTCTCTGTATTTCATTCTCTCCATCATAGCTATATATAGTACTCCAGATTATAATTAGAGAAGGCAGCAAAGCAAATAAGACCTTATACTACAGTGACCACAACAAAGATTCATATGGCTGTACAAAGCCTACAAGAGAGGCTTAGCTGTCAAGAGGCACTTAATTGCTGAAGCCAAAAGAAGGAGATGTAGGGCAATCAAGACAAACAACACTAAACCATTAGGACATACTCCCACGCTAACCATAACCAAGAACATATTCTTTTTTAAAAGGATGACATTAAGAGAGAGAGAGGGGGGAGAGAGAGAGGGAAAGGGAGAGAGAGGGGGGGAGAGAGAGAGAGAAGGGGAGAGAGAGAAAGGAAGGATGAATGGGATATAAAAAGGGACAGCTAATAAAATATAAATTTAAAGAGTAAAAAATGAATTATTATAAGAAATTAAAAGAGAGATACATGCAATAATAATACGAACACACAAGTAGCTAGTATAGTAAGACACAGTGGAGAGAGAAATGGGGAGGGGGAGGTGTAAAAGTAATTCAAAACAGCTGTACGAATGTATGTATCATGATTATTCAATTTAGCATGAATAACCACGTAATGTTTACAAGAATATTCCATAATGATTACATTTTCACAGATTTATTTCATTTAATGGGGGGCAAGATAAACAAAGATTGGAAAGAATGGGCGGATGACTTACCTGAAGCTGCAGCCGCTGCGTAATGAGGAAACGAGCAAACTGATGAATTATTAGAAGGAAAAGAAAGAATGCTATTATCAACCATGGCTGTAGTCATCGTGTGATGAGACAAAAACAAGAAAAGAAAAACTGTCAGATTGTTTGTAAAGTGATTCTGGAGCAAAAGACCAAAGAGAGGGAATGATTGGAGAATGACCTGTATAAGCTATCTGTTAGTATTTAGTATATGTGCTTTATGAAAATGGTGAGCTGACGTGATGAAGTTCTACTGGTCGTGTTAAATGATGTGACACTGGATCAGAGAGTGACAGACGGTATAATAGAAGAGCTAACGGTGCCGAATTGGTTGCTGTGTGCCCCTTCAGAGCAACGCCATAATACTGAGAGACGGGCTGAATCGGAAAGCGAAGGAAGATAATAGAAGAAACGGGGGAGCTAGGAGATGGGCACAGTACAGACTCGGTCTTCTCGTAACTGACTACACGAAGAGACGGACTCGGTTGGTAGTGTGTCGGTGAATTCGCTCGGCGGGTCTGGGAAAAAAGAGCGAGGGAGCTATGAGGAGAACAGAGGACCAGTCGTAGCGCGCCCTAGAGACGACAACTATCACTGGAATGATGAGTGGACCCGTTGAGTGACTACACAGCCAGTGACTCGGTAACAAGAAGTCACTCTCAGCAGTTCTCCCAGCTATACATGTAGGGCCAGTAATCGATTGGGCGTGGTCTCGAGTAGTTATTAAAAGTTATCAAAATATTTGTGATAACAATGAAATTTTATCTGGTTTTAGATTTTCCAAAAAAATAATAATCCTAATCCTCAAAAGTGATAGCTACACGATATTCATTTTTATTTTTGTTCGTCATACATCCTCCAATTACATAACAATAATAACGATAGCAATAATAATAACAGCAACAACAATTATTATTATTATTATTACTAACTAGTCTACAAGAGGACTTTCTCTTTGGAAAAAGCTTAACCTTTATAATCAAGGAAGCAATTATGAGCAAGACAGCATTAACATTCATTACAACCTACGAATACTATTATCAAGTGCTATTTCAGTATTTCCACTGTACTTAGATAGTTCCCTTCACATTACATGTACATCTAACAATTGGTCAAAGATTTAAGCCTAATATTATAACCTAGGAGAAAGAGAGCTACAAATCCAGACAAACCAGAAGAACCAGCCAATAAATATTTATGCCTCCATACGGGCATGATCTTGTATTAAAATGTATTATCAAAAGAGACTCTATTTACTAGAGTCAAGTTACTGATGAAGAGTGCTGTAGCCAAGAGATGTAGTAGATAATCTTTTAAAGGTTTCACATGAACATACACACAACCAAATACACTGGTACGAGTATAACGCATTCACACACGCATACATGCATGCATGAACACTACCGGTGATTCATTATATCAGGTGCTTCACCTAAAGTCTACCTATAGCTGTCTGCCTTTATTACTTATTAGGATAATTATGTACAATAGTACACAGCATAACCATTGGAGATTACATTATAACCAGTAACCACACACTATATGGGTGATTAATTACCATTATAGTACTGGCAGACACAGACACAGACACACACACACACACACACACACACACAACTCAAAAATTAAATAATAAGAACGTGAAATAAAATGAATAAAAGAATTGAAAGAGAAAGAGAGAGAGAAAGAAATAAAGGGATAACAGAGAAGAGATATGACCAATAGATAGTACAGTACTATTATACAAAACTCAAAGCCCATTGGCTGGATCTCAAAAAACAATTTAAAAATTACTAATACTACCCAAAGTAACACTTGGAAGGATGCGGAAGGGAAAGTTTTAAAGGGTGCCACACTACCTTCTATAGCAGACAGAAGCTGATAAATAAACTCCCACACTGAGTCATAAACTAATTAAATAACTACCATAGCAAGCCTTGCACAGGATGCAAATACAGCAAATAATAAAACCGGCCCAAAGCACATGGTCCAGTATAAACAAATTATAAATATTGTAGGCAAACAATCCTGATCATGACCCTGATATCATCACTGGAACCAACACTCAGCAAATGCCATCAAACACTTGAATGCCAAGTCAAACCCCATGGCTTTTTTTGTAAAAATAATACCCACCTGTTTTATTAGATTTAGGATTGACTGGCTTGCTGGAAGAGTATTTGTGCGATTGGAATCTTGGAGGCATCTCTCGATAATAAAACCTTGAAGAGTAGCCATTTGGAGGACTAGTCGTACCACTACCACTTCCAGGGGAATAGGCCTTGGGCAACAAAAAGAAGAGAGGGAGGACGGAAATGAGAGAAGCTCACAAAATGAGAGACAAAATACCTTAGACTTCATTACTGAAGACTTGCTGGTCTCCCCTCCTCCTCCTCCCTTCCTTTTATTATTGTCAGTATCTTTGCTAGGAGTCCTAGAATTGTTCCGTCTAGTTGTACTATTAGCAGTATTACTATAATTGTTATTATTATTGTGAGTGGATGGTGATGCTGTGGCTGTTGTATTGGTTGACATGTGAGTAGTTTCAATATAAGAATAATTGGGAGTGGTCAACTGTCGTGTATTCAGCAATAATACCTTTAAGAAAAAGAAAGAAAAGCGAGTACAAGAGAAAAAAGGCTTGAAGGAGATGAAACAGGATTAAGTGAAATTAAACGATACATGAATGTGCATATACATGTACATGTACATGTATATGCATACACATAAAGCATACATGTACAAGTATCACACATGCAATCTATTGATAGAGCATAGTGCATACAAAATGAGATACAAAAGGATATACAAATTCTACAATTATACATGCATATAGTGCTCCTGGCATATACTAAAGATGAGGGCTGCTCATTTGTATGATATCACTACTAAGGAGTACATGAGACAATCAACCACCAGTACTACATGCATGAGACAGTAAAATGACATCACGATGCCCTCTATGCAACAGAAAACTTTTTTTATACATCATAGATGTCATTCTTGAGGTTACGTAAAATTTTAAAACTGACAAAAATTTATCCACATTTCATAGTACAAGTCCTTATTAATGGAATAATTTTTGTCCCTCAAAGGAAAAAAATTGATGCATAAAACATAGTGCATTACCTATGCATGTATATGTGTACGTCTCCCACAGTCTGTAAGAGATTATCAGCTATTGATGTCGTATTCTTAGAACAAAGTGATTCGTGTTGAGTGAGGAGAGAGAGAGAGACTGAGCTGCATTACTAAAGGGAGAATAGAGAGAGAGAGAGAGAGAGAGAGAGAGAGCAAAGGGAAACAAGAGAAGGAGAAACAGCTAGGGGGGGATTGAATTACTAATGTATAAATGAAGCCATAACAATACATGTACGCTTTTTACGACATGCAAATTCTACCTTACAATTTGCCGGCTCATTAGTAAAAAGTAATAAAAATACATGAGTACGTAACCACAAGTCTCTCACTCTTTAAATATACACCAATACACTAATTAGTGAAAATATAATAGCTTTTCTATTACCAAGTGACACGCCTACCTCTGGTCAGTCTCTGGCTATTCTTAGAGTTTCATTTTGGCTTACCAGTCAATGCTTTCCTCCTCTCTCCTGCTGTCCTTTCCTTTGCTAGAGGGCTCTTCTCTGGCCGCTTGTAGCTTCTCCTTTGTCCCTCTGTTTCTGCAAATCAAGCTTTTTCTCTCTCTCCCCGCGACTGCTATAAAGTCGCATTCAGGATCAATGAATAATGGATGAACAAAATTTTGTGGCTTGCCCTATCAAAATTTTAGTGGCAAGTTCACGTGATTGCTACCACACCTATTAAACATTAAAAATTTAAAAAATTACAAAAATTAGTAACTTTAATTTAATTAGAAGTCAAAAATTTAGGTAATTATTCTCGAACTTTTTGCAGGACAACTAAAATAGAGTGACCCAACTTTTGTTTATTTTTTTCAGGGAAAAAGCTAACTGTAGACACCTCTCCTTTATTTTGAATTGCTGCAGCACTGGCACTAGTTTTAGGACCCGTAGTGTTTGGAATAAAGTTATAACTTTGACCTCCTGCTCTTGTTCCTATTTGCAGCTCCAATACATTTAAGAATTTGAAGTCTCTTGATTTTATTTGAACGTATGAACGAAAAGACTTGTGTGCTGTTATGTTGAATTCAATACAAGATGAATTTATCCACCTAAAAAATTTATAATAATTATCAGGAATATCGTGTGGTATAAGGCTCTCATGAACAAAAATATGTAGATTCTCACAGCTCAAAAACAGCCATAATTAGCTCAAGCTTTCATATAGGACAATAATATTTGACATAGCTCTTTTTCTATATATGCTGGCACACATAACAAGTTAATTAACAACATCATTGGTGCCTACCTGTAAGATGCTATCATGCCAGATCCATGCGATTGCCTCATCTGAAATGAATCTCCCATCCTCCTATCACCCGACAAGAACAAGTACCACTTCAGATCCCATCCTTTCTTTCTCTTTCTTCCTCCATTCACTCCGAGTGGTAACACTTTATCTAAATAAAGAAAGTCTAAAATGTCAACATGATAGTTACTGATTTGTATACTTGCTGCAACGAATACTGTATATTCGTCAAGGGAGGTATCAGTAATTGTGACTTTATCACCAGCAGAATAAAGCTTGCTCTCATCAAACCAATAAGCCCATTCAGATGAGCCGTTGCCAGGCTTTGGGAAATGAACGGTGACCTTTTAATGAGATATGCAAAGCATGATAATGAAGAATTAAGTGATTGAATGATTGAGTGAACAAAAATGTGAAAGATCATCAATTGAAAAGGCATACTTTTGGAGGCTGGCTAATTATCGGACAAACCAAAATGACACCACCTAACATGTAATTGTAAGTAGAAGGAAAAAATTCATCTTCAGCCTGTATGAAAAGGAGAGAGAGAGAGAGGGGGGGGGGGAGAGATAGAGATATGCAGGAATGATTATACAAGATTATAATGCTGACCTTATTAATGAAGTTTTGGTGAGGTGCCAGTGGTGTGATAGAACTAACATTAGTCTCAATTGCTTTAGTACCAACAGAAAGCAAATATGGCACTAACTGATAATGAATATCAACAAACCTACACGTATTATTTAATATTATATACCGGAAATGACACCTTCATTCTTATACTTTCTATAAATGTTCAAGGTTTCATTATCAAAAGTCCATGGGCGATGCTCCTTGTTCCCTCCATTCTCCATCAGTGGAGAGAAAGACCCTAACTGAGCCCAACGAATGAAAAGTTCTTTAGTACGACCAAGAGTCCCATCACCACTCCGATAACCTCCAATATCAGAACCAAAATTAGGATAACCTGAAATTATCATGAAAGATTCATGTGAAATACATGTACATACAAAGGTACAGTTTACAGCAAAAGCTACATCTATATCATTGCAGGGACAATCCCAAATATATCTATTTATATTTATTGTACCTGCCCAAGCTGACTGAAGGTATCTCTTAAGGGCATTCTCTAGCCCTTTAAAGGTAGGGTCTTGATCACCAACCCATCCTGACAGAACAACACGCTGTGGGCTATAGTCCAAGTACAATACATTTCCTAAACTAAAAGGAACAAGAAGATTATAATAATAGTAACAACATCCAAAGACTTCTCCAACTGCTTGAAAAGTACATATTGTGAAAGTCAAACAAATGTCACCTTTGTCACTGACTGCACTATTAAAACTGGCCAGCCTTTTTATATCTCATGGCTATTTCAAAATCAGTGTAGCAAGGCTTAAAGTTACAAACAAGTCAGGAGTTTTCTAGCAGCAACATAAGGTTGAGATTCTGCTTTTTCGCTGGTAATAATCTACAAGACTGAGCCCTTTAATGTTTTGCATTGTTTCTAGTAATAATTGTTTGAATAATATTCAGAAAATCATGTAGGCCCAAGTTCAACATCCAAATTATTATGCCTATATAATTCTATCCATTTCTAGTATAAAGGTGACTTTGAATAGTCCACAAGTGCAATTGTTTCTCAAACTTACGCATCAACAGGCCGAGACATGATGAGGGTATCCTTCCCAAGTACCTTTCGCGTGTAATCAAAGAAATCCGAATAGTAAGCATTAGAGTAATCCTTCCTGCTCACATAGCCACCTTTACCATGAGAGCCAATAATCTCAAGAACATACGGATCAGTCCCGTCACATTTCCATCCATCAATACCATACACAAATACCTTTAAGAGAGAGAGAGGGAGAAAATCATAAAAAGAAACTCGACAAGATTGCTTACATTTTGTAACTGATCGTGCCACCACTCAACAGCTTTAGGATTAGTATAATCTAGTAATCCTCCCTTGCCATGCCACCATGACAGAATGGCCTCTTCATCAACTCCATTCCTATTACATGCATACACAGAGAAGAACTTATGCATAATTACAAAGAGAAGCTAGAGATATGTAATAAATCCACTAATAGTATAATATCAACCTACTTCACCTTCACTTGTATGAATATGATACTGTACAGGGTTCTCCCCAGGATTGTGAAAAGATGGCTTTTTGCATAGGCGAACAATACAAAGGCTTGTTACGCTTGTTGCGCTCTTTACGTTGAAAATTAACAGTTCCAAGAAGAGCACTGTGCCTATTTTAGCGCTTTTAAGGAGGGCTTTGTATAACCCAGCGAAAACCCAGGTACCTTAGCAAGTATCCATTATCATGTGCATCTTGATAATTAGAGGAGTCAGTGTCTATCATTGAAGTGGCCCAGAGTATGACACTGATGTTTAAGGAATGAAAGGTCTGGATCATGTCATCAGGATCAGGATATTTATTGGGATCAAATATGAAATTATTATAACCAGTGGACCAGCCAGAGTCAAGGTCAACCGCGCCTACCTGGAGAAAGGAGATAAACAGGTAGCAGCAAGTTTAGAAATTTCTAGAGTGGTAGCAGCGATGCTAGACCTGGCTTTTCCACAAAGCATGCTAAAATGCTAAGTGAGCTAAAAAGCATGCTTCATGAGCTGACAAGCTTTATAGCACACAGGTTTAGGAGGAACTTTAAAAATTTAAATCTTTTGATATGAATTGCTACACAACGCTTGAAAATTTAAGAACATTAAAACGCATCAGAAAAAAAAATTTATAAAATGGAAAATTTTTTAATAGTCATTTTTAGCAAAATTTGGCCAAAAGACCCTGCACTATAACTTTGGCCAGAATTTTAATAACTTTAAAAATTCACAAAAAATTCAATTTTGATTGGATTCAGCTCAAACTTGCTACACAACATAATAGCATGTATATGTATCAGAAAAAAATTATAAAAGTTGAAAATTCTTTCCTAGCCATTTTTGCCAAAATTTGGCCAGTGACCCTGTACTATAGTACAGGGACTTTGGTTCAATTTTTGAGTAAGTTTAAAAATTCATTAAAAAATTAATTTTGATCGGAATTAGCTCAAACTTGCTACACAACATAATAGCATGTATATGTATCAGAAAAAATTATAAAAGTTGAAAATTCTTTCCTAGCCATTTTTGCCAAAATTTGGCCAGTGACCCTGTACTATAGTACAGGGACTTTGGTTCAATTTTTGAGTAAGTTTAAAAATTCATAAAAAAATTAATTTTGATCTCAAACTTGCTACACAACATAAGAGCATGTATGTGTATCAGAATAAATTATAAAAGTTGAGAATTCTTTCCTAGCCATTTTTGCCAAAATTTGGCCAATGACCCTGTACTATAGTACAGGGACTTTAGCTTGATTTTTGAGTAACTTTAAAAATTCATAAAAAATTTAATTTTGATCGAAATTAGCTCAAACTTGCTACACAACATAAGAGCATGTATATGTATCAGAAAAAATTATAAAAGTTGAAAATTCTTTCCAAGCTACTTATGGCAAAATTTGGCCAATGACCCTGTACTATAGTGCAGAGACTTTGGCTCAATTTTTGAGTAACTTTAAAAATTCATGGAAAATTCAATCTTAATCAGAATCAGCTCACACTTTCTACACAACATAAAAACACGCATATAAAAATCTAATAAAAATTCTACACTGGCTAGAATTCTTATCAGGTTTTGAGTTACATTATGTGTTCTTATGTTGTGTTGAGTCCCTTGCCCTGTTTGATGAAATTTGACAAAATACCAATACAGGTTATTGTGTCAATATTTCTGCACTATTTTTTTGATGATCGGCTCGCTAAGTGTAGGAATATCCACTCGCTTACTTTTATGTCATGTTTGAGATATTCCATAGCATATTCAATCATAGAGGACTGATTAGCTCTATCATTTGACAACCACACCCTACATAGATCTATACATACAAGCCAAGTCGCTTAGGAACCTCTTACCAGTGGTGGTGGGCCCATTCAGGGTATGGCGCTTCAGCTAGTGAAGCAGGTGCTACTATAAAGTCCTTTAGTTCTTGGGAATACACTAAAGGGACAAGAAAGAGAACAACAAACAGAGACATCATAACTGAGGGGACAGAGTTCAGCCACACCTTTTACATAAAAATAAAGTGAAAGTATAAATTTTGTTGTTAAAAACATACAAAAATTGTTTTAAAAACAATTATTAAAAAGTCTAGAAATAAATTATAATAGACACTAATTTTTAAAAAAGACTAATTATTGCACAATCACGATGATGAAATCAGCTGCTGAATGAGCTCTTTTGGAGGACGTTTGGGCTTTGGAGGGGCAACATCTACAGACAAAAATAAAAGAAAAGAAAAATTAACTTTTACATTATCTCTGTGACTGATTAACCTGGTCTGCTGATGCCTATCGAAGGCTGAGACTTAAGAAGAAATGGAGGGGGAGGAGTCAAAGTATTAGCACCTAATAATTACATGAATAATAATTATAAAGTACACATGTATAAAAGAGGTTATTGGTGTTTTTACCATCAGGTGATTCAATTGGTCGGCGTGATGGAGAGGGTGAGAGCGATCTTCTGTGATTCAACTGAACTTTCAATGAGTCACTGAGTGTGCAATGAACGACAAAAAACAATTACAATAATATTTGCACAATATTATAAATACATACCGTTCTGTCTGGATCTCCTGCAATAATCTAGTGGCCATTTCAGCTCTGCCTTCTGCATCGGCAAGCTATGGAGATGAGAAAGAAGAGTTGAAGTTGAAGTCATAATGTAAAGTCTACCTTGGCAGACATTGTAGGTGATCCATCATCTTTCTGTTTAGTATCTTCACTGTTGGTCGAAAGCCTTACAAAATAATAATAAAAATAATTTATAATTATTGTTTTATTCACTTTTCCTTCATGGATTTTCTCATTGCGATCATGTCGGACACAGCTTTCTCTTTTTCTGCCTGCAACTGTTTACGTCTTTCATCAGTCGTTTTAAGATTATCACTCAGTTCCTGTAGCTTAGACCGAGTCTCTTCTAACTCCTTCCTCAAAAGCTAAAATAAGCAAAACAAAGAGAATTAATTAATTAATTATTAATGAAATGAATTAGTGAATCCTAACTTTAGAGTCACTAGTCTGTTGTTCCAACTCTTTCTTCGTCTCTTCTAACCGTCCAATCAAATCGCTTCTCTCCAGCGAAAACTTTTCCTCCAATTCCTTAACTTCTTTGCTGTTCGACAACTTTAGGTTCTCTATCTGAACTTGAAGCTGAAGTTTTTCTTCTTTCAGCTCCAACTCGTCTACTGGGGATCGTTCCTTCTTCTGACTAGTTAAGTTAATGACAGCCTTCAAGCGATCTCTCTCTTTCTCGGTCTCTTCCAGTTTGACGGTCAGTTCCTTGACTTGAGTTTCGTTGTTTATCCGTAACTGTCTCTCTTCCGTCAGCCGCTCCATGATCTTCACTTGCTCCTCCTCTATCTCTTCCAATTCTTTCTATAAATAAAAAAGTAAAAAAAACTAGATGAAATTTAATAGAACAAAAATAAACACTAACAACATTATCTAATTTCACAGATGCATGCCAGAGTCAAATACTTTATAGTGGGAAATTTTGGAGGGACTAAAATTTGGTGAATTGCTGAATTTTGGTGATTGGCGGATATTAATTTGGCAAATTTGTAGCCATGTGCCATTGAGCATGCGTATAATGGTTCAAAATGGCAATTTTTATTTGGCAAAAGGATATCTAAACGCCAAATTCACCAAATTTAACTCCTTCCAAAATTTCCTACAATATGGTAAATGAACATGTGAAAAATTAGCAATTGCCCTTGTACAGTTTGAAGTTTTATGAGTTAATTTTTTTTAAATGCATTAAAATTGGAATATTTAGTATAAAAAAATACTTTAGCTGCTGTTCCTTCTTCTTGCCAGTGCTTTAAGTCTTCCTCTAATTCAGCAACAGACTCTTGTAAACTCTATATGACAGGATAAATCAATAATAATAATAATAATAATAATTATTATTATTATTATCTCTTACTGTATTTAGATCCTCTTTGTACTGGACTTGCGTTGATAGACTGTCATTAACTTGTTCCAATTTTACTTTAGAATCATCCAGTGCCAATATCTGTAAGCACATAAGAGTATAATATATTCCATGTACACATCATAAACTACTGACTCTGGTATGTGTGTAATACCTTTTCTTTTAACATTAGTATTTCATCATTTAATTGTTGTAAAATGTCTTCATTTTCTTCTTTGGTCTCCTCAAGTTTGTACTGCAAGAGTTTCCTTTGACCAGCAGCTGTTTCTAACTCATCCTCCAACTGAGTTACCTTACCCCTCAGGGCATCAACCTTAGAGCAAGAAGAAGAGGGATAAACTCAAGAATCACTCATAGCTAATGTTCAGCAATTACTTCAGCTTCAAGTAATGAGCTAACAACATCAGTCTTCTTACCAGCTGAAGGCTGAGAAACAGGACTTATACTGTAAAAGAGAGAGAGGAGAGAGACAGAGACAGAGACAGAGAGACAGAGAAACATAGAAGGGGCAAAAAGGAGAGGAGACATCATGCAACAGATCATAAGAGTAGATGAAAATGAAAATGAGCTAAATAGTAAATCTAAATCATTATTCTCAGAATTACCTGCTTTGTAAAGGTGAGTCATCAACAGAGCTGTCACTGCCTCTTCTGTTTGAAGTGGTAGAAGTTGCTGTGGAGACTCTCTTTCTACCAAAGAGACCCCCACCACTAGTAACACTACCCTTCCTTCCACCACCACTGACTGACCCTGAACTACTTATCATTGGAGAAGGAGGACCCTGTGAAAGAAGAAAGGAACTGGAACAAACTTCTCTCTGTCTCTCGATCTCTCTCCACTATCTCGATCTCTTTCTATATACATGCATATATATCATGTGTATCTCATGTGACAAGGAAATGGTTTCATTTTCAAATTTACATAGATAACATAGGAAAGCACACTAACTGTACTAATGGACCAAGTGTACTTTAATTGCATGATTATAAGAAATTAAAACTGAATGCACTCCACACACATGTACATATATGTACATGTATGTGGGTGGATCCAGATAGATAAGACCTATTGTCACACCCCCCCATAAAAAGGGCAGGGCAAATAATATCTATTAATAATTTTAACCTTCCCTGCTAGATTAATTATTACTTGAAGTTTAAATAATAATAATAATAATAATAATTTTTTTTTTATTTTGAATGATACTTACATGAATGCTGTGTGCTGTCTTGACTGTTGATTGTAACGCAGACATCCAATCAACTCTTTCAATTTCACTCTTTGCAGCAAAATTATAAACCCTCCCAGAAGAAACCTGTTCCAAAGAAACAGCACATGAATGTTTAAGTGAGTGCTAGGGACAACAACTAACCGTTAAATCAAAACCAAAGCCTTTCTTTGCTGCGCCTGCTATAGCAATCTGGTGCACTTCCTTAAGATCAATGGAGCCTTGAGGAGCATCGTCCTAAAGAAGAGAAATAGAGAGAATTAATATTATCATCATCATCATTATTATTAGCAAAAATAATGTGTACATCTCTTCTCTCTTTTCTCCCACTTAGCCATTAGCTAATGATAGCTAATGATGCAACCCAAGTAGGTTGTTTAAAGGAAAAAAACAATTAAGTATAAACAAACGAAGCTGTAAACATACACAAAGGGCTGTATTTAATAACAATTAAAAGATGAATAATGCTATAAATGGAATAAATAACAAAGATGTTTATGCAATTACATTAGAACATGTCATGTGGATTCAATAATAACAGCACCTTGTCTTTTTCCGATTTAAAATAAACAAGTTTTCCGTTTGAGAGTACAAAGTAACGATCACGCCAACCCTACAAAATATAATAAAAATAAATAAAATTTAATAATGGGTCGAGTGAGAGGGTGTGACATACATGTACATGTAAGCGTGTGTACATGTACAATGTACGTGTATTTTCTCATGTAAGGACTTGATATCTACCTTATTGTTTGGTCCCGTTTTAGACAACCAGCCTTCCTTTGTGCTAAAGTAAGCCTGTAATAAAAAAAAACATTTAACAGAGTAAAGGGCTAGGGAGAGGCTCGAAATAGGACCAATCTCTTTAAATGTACACTGAAAATTATACCTGGGGCTGCTGCCGGTCAGTCATAGCCTACGGGTTTCTCTCTGATAGCCTAGGGCCGGCTGGGGGACTAGGGAATGAGATTTAGCCTCGACTTTAGCACGTCTTAGCTCTAGAGATGTCTGAGATGAGCTCAATTCAGCTGCGAGGATCACGTGATCCCTAGCCCTTGTCACGTGGTAGACTTTTAACTCCTGGCCTGTTCCCTCCAATTTCTTCTCCGATTCTACTCTTTATTATTTGTTGGCCATGAGTGAGGGCAGACTAGTCAAGATGGAGGTCGATTACTCGGCCACAGTCGACGAAGTCTTGCCAGAGTGTCAGGAATTGGCCAAGGTAGTTTCATGGAAATGATCTTGTTATTATTTTTAAAAATACTCTCTACTTTTTTTAGGCTGGAGAAGTTAAGAAAGCATTCGAGAAACTTCTCTCAGTGGAAAAGAAAACAAGAATGGTGAGACTTGAATTATGTGGTTGATAGGGGCGTGGTCATAATTATGTAATAATTAATTAAATGCGTGGGTTGTTGCAGTCATAATGTTACATTTATTTTATGTATGTAGTCGGGTGATGCTCTCTCAACTGGGCGTGTTCTAAAGACTATAGTCCAGCTGTGCTTTGACCTAAGAGACTGGGACTCACTCAATGAGCATATAGTCCTGCTGTCAAAAAGAAGGGCACAGCTCAAGACTGTATGTATTCTGATTTTTATAATAATGAAAATGAAAGTGATTTATGTTTTGCAAAGGCTGTGGCGGCTATGGTCGAAGAGGCCTGCAAACTTGTTGATCAAACTCCGGACAAAGATACAAAACTGAAGCTCATTTCGACACTTCGAACAGTAACAGAAGGAAAAGTAAAAGAGATGATTGAAATATTTAAATTTTTATCTTTTTGCTCTTCTTCTCAGATATATGTGGAAGTACCAAGAGCAAGACTAACCATGGAATTAGCAAAGATGACGGAATCTGACGGCGACATTTCTAAAGCAGCCGACATTCTTCAAGAGCTACAAGTAAATGAAAATGAAAATTAAGAATAAAATGAAACCATGATAGAATAAAATCATACCTCAGCTTGTGGTCACTCTAGTTATAACATCATTAATTATCCAATTTATGATATCATTTCTCTCTGCAAGGTTGAGACCTACGGCTCAATGGAACGAGAAGAGAAGGTCTTGTTTGTCATAGAACAGATGAGGCTCTGTCTAGCAAAGAAGGATTACATCAGGGCTCAGATTATTAGTAAAAAAGTTAGCACTAAGTTTTTCCTTGGCGATACCGAGACTATACAGGTAAGATACTAATGAAATTCTATAGCATATGCATGCAAATAATTGGTCTCTCTCTTTCTTTTTAGGATTTAAAGCTCCGGTATTATCATCTAATGATCCAAATGTGTCAGCATAGCAAAAGCTATCTTGACATTTGTCGTCATTATCGTTCTATATTTGATACGCCTAAAGTCCAAGCTGAGGAACAAGCCTGGAAAGAGGTGGGTGAACCTTCAGTTAGCTAGTGCAATATAATTAAATGACATAAACATATTTTATACTATAATATTATATGCAGGCATTAAAGAATTCAGTCCTCTATGTATTACTTGCACCTCATAATAATGAACAATCCGACCTACTTCATCGAATTTATGAAGAGAAGAAATTGTCTATGATACCACTATATAAGTAAATTGAATATATATATATGTACATGTACATTTTTCTTGCCTATATTTATACTTGTCCTCTCTTTTTAGAACTTTAATGGAGTGCTTTCGTAGGCAAGAGCTCCTCAATTGGAGTATGTTTCAAGCCTCATATACTGCTGTGCTAAGAGAAGGCTTACCTGAAGAGCCAGCAACTGGTGTCTTTGCTGTTGGTACTGAAGAAGGTGATATGCACTGGAAAGACTTTGAAAAGAAACTTATTGAACATGTAAGATATACAGTCAATAGGAGAGAGATACACACACATAGAGGCAGTGTTTCCCACAAAGCATGCTAAATATAGCCCGTGGTTTTTCCAAAAAATGGCTCTGAAATCACCCATAATTTTTATTACATTTTCTGATACACATCAATATCCTTATACCGTACAAGATGATTATTGGTGGAAGTAATTTTTGGCAAATTTGCCTATGTAAAGCAATTTGCGGATTTTATATTGGCAATTTTGTGCCACGTGCCATTGAGCATGCTCGGATTGAAACAAATTGGCCAATTTTTGAAAAAATCCCTGTACTATAGCCCATGGTTTTTTCCAAAAAATGGCTCCAAAATCATCCCCAATTTTTATTAAATTTTCTGATACATATTGATGTCCTTATGCTATGTAGAAAGTTTGAGCTGTTTCTCACAAATATTTTTCGAGTTATGAGCATTTTTAAAAATGAGCCAATTTTTGAAAAATACCCAAGGCTATAGCCCATGGTTTTTTCCAAAAAATGGCTCTGAAATCAACCCCAATTTTTATTAAATTTTCTGATACATATTGATGTCCTTATGCTGTATAGAAAGTTTGAGCTGATTCTGACTTCAATTTTTAAAGTTATGACCATTTTTAAAAATTGGCCAATAATGGCGGATTTTATATTGGCAATTTCTTCATAGAACCACCAACCGCCAATATTGATTCCTCACCAATGAATCATTTTGTACAGTACTATGTAGAAAGTTTGAGCTGATTCCGACTAAGTTTCCTTTCCTTTATAGAATCTGTGTGTACTAGCTAAATATTATACCCGAATCTCCCTATCAAGACTATCTCAGTTACTATTACTCAATGAACAGGTGAGGAGTACAAATCAATATTTGCATACACTTCACTCGCTTTTACTCTCAGGAGTCTGAAGTATACATTTCAGACCTGGTAACCAAGAAGACTATATACGCACGTATCGACCGGCCGGCTGGTGTTGTTAGTTTTTCACAGACCCAGGACCCCAGCGAGATACTGAACGAATGGTCGACAAACCTGTCTAACCTGATGACATTGGTCAGTAAAACGACTCATCTTATTAATAAAGAAGAAATGGTCCATAGATTGGTCAAATGAAACTAGTTTTTTGTGTTTATTTATCTCTTTCTCTTTGCTTCTTTCTCTCTCTCTCTTCACCTGTCACTCATAATAATAATAATAATGTTATTATTAATAGGAATGCTGTATTTAATTAATATGTTATTAATTATTTTGGTAATGACTCAAGAAAGATAAACAGAATTGCATGTTCTTGTACTTATGCCCGAAAAATGTGTGCTTGATATTTCTGCATATTAATTTTTTTGCATTACTAAACTTTAGCATTATAAAGAGAAATTATATCTAGTTGGCACAAAATCCTCCATCTATGAGCAATGTCTCACAATTGATCATTGAACTGGAGTCACTCAGTAAGAACAGTATAGCCTTTACCACATCTTCCTCTTCTGTCAATGAAAAAGGAATTTTTAAAAGGCATTTATAAACTGTAGGTCTAATAATCTTCATTAGTGTATCATGCATCTCTTACCTGCAAATCTTCCAGTTGGTATTCTTTGTAAAACTGGTGTTGCTTTCTGAGGATTAGACCAAGCCTTCCTACCCATCTCGGTGTACACAACAGTAGGATTAACAGCATTCACTCTAATCTACACAAATAATGCACTAAATGAAGAGGGTTGTTATCAACTCTCACATTGTGTGGTCCTAATTCAACCCCCATCACTTTAGTAAGCATATCAAGGGCTGCTTTAGATGAGCCTGTAAGACATTATTGTACATCATAAAAATCTATTCATTCAATACAGATTACATTATTGTTTGCTGCATTTATATACTTACAGTAAGAGGTGTGGTCCTTCAATGCAACCTTTGATGCCATACTGGATACATTAACAATGGCACCACCTTTACCTCTGTCAATCATCCATTTAGCAACATACTGGTGGAGAAAGAAATAAGTTACAATTAATAAGAAGGATGGTACTGTACCTGTGACAAGAATAGCACTGCTTTGTGATTTACATTCATTACTCTAAGACATAGAAAAAGTTTTATAAATGGCATCTTATTATTGAATACTTTTCATATTCTTCTGGAGTGACTTCAAGAAAGCTTTGCAAAGATGTCACTCCTGCATTGTTGACCAGTAGATCAATAGGAGTGATTGACCATAGCTTTTCCCTTGTTGCTTGTAAATCAGCCACATCAACACAGACAGTAGTAATCCCAGGACACTGTGTATTACAATTAAAAATACAAGTATAGACGTGGAGGATATACCTCAGTTTTTAGTGTCTTTAGATCAGATTCTGTTCTGCTCAAAGCTACAACATCAGCTCCACACTCCACCAATGCTTTTGCTGTAGCTCTTCCTATGCCTGTCAATAATTGAGTTTATTAGGTGATAAATGTTCTTCCTGTCTTGCCTTTCCCTGCTCCTGTCACTAGAGCTTTCTTTCCTTTAAAATTATATCCAAAACTTTGAGCCGCCATAATTATTACTTGTGCAGCCAGCCACACCCTTAAAAAAAGTCTGTAACCGGAAATAACCACTTCCGGTTTCATTTCACTTCCGGTTTCGTTTTGACCACACCCAGAATTTTTAACCAAAAAATGGAGGGAGATTTTTAAAGATTTTAAAAATTATGAACTTGGAAGAGACTGTTGCTGCATTTGGTGACGATGAAATAGATTTAGGAGGTACTATAGAATACAGTCTAATGATAGCAAGGCAGCATGGGCTGGCTAGTACGCTTTCTTCACCTTTTCAATCAACTTTTGCCTCATCACCACAAGTAAGAAATATTATATATACATATAAACAGTACATTAATCTTGTTGCATTATATTAGGGAGTACTAAAAGAAGAGGATATCCCTTTACCTCTTAAATCTCCATCTCTTCAGTTGATATTGCTATTGAAAGAGATCACACAGTTAAGGGAAAGCATTGATCAGGTTGATACAATTTTTATGTGATAATTAAATTATAACTAAATATGATGTCAACACTTGATGTGTTGCTGTAATTAATAATTAGCAGTCTTTTACTGACTTTTCTTTTGTTTAGACAGATTACAAGCTAACCCAGCTGCTCCTCGATAAAGAATCCTCAGATTTGCTACACATTGACTCTTTAGGTACATAGTAGCGATGACACATTTTAAACTTTTAATAGTATATTTAATTAGATTCTAAACAGAAACAATTGGACGTTCTGACCGACTATTTTTCAGCTGTTGTTCAAAAAACATCAAAATTAGTGACACAATTGCAGAAAGTCAGTGCAGATTCATCACTGAAAGTTGAAGCATGTCATCATGAGTAAGAAAATCAACTACCTTTGTAAAATCTCTTATTTTTGTCTCTTTCCTTTTATATAATTGTTTTGTGTTTGTCATTTATCTGATATTTGTAGTGATGTTGTCACATCATTGTCACTGCTCGTCAACATTGTGAACAAACTGCCGGAGAACATTAAGAAATTAAATGCCATCAAACAATTCAAACTCAAGGATAACCCTGATGCAGTCAGTGCCAAAAAGAAATTGAAAAGAGATTTGTTGTTTGTTTTTTTTTTCAGGTTTCTCCATTATCAGAATCAGCAGAGCTACTTGTTGAGTGCAAAATAAATACTCAGAGACTTCAAAATCATTTGAATTTAAGATTGAAGAAACAAGAGCAATAGTCCTATTATTTTTTAAAATAATAAAACCATGTTTTAATAACTTTAGTCACTCCCACTCCGCTTTTCCATATCTGGTTAACAAAAAGAAAAAAGATATCGTCTTATCTCCTTTGCTGGATAACAGTTCTTGTTGACAGTCTACGCGCAGCCTGTTAGGAGAGGAAGATCATGTGTAAGTTAATCTCTATGTAGCTCTTTAACATCAACGCGTGGGGCTTCAAACAAAAAGGGTTTTGAATCATCGTCTCCCGTAGAAATTATGACACTAATGTTTACTTATGAGCATAGCTATCGTATCCTGGCTTATTTGCAATGTTTAACCTTTAGAATAGGCTCTGGTTTTATTAAAGAATGAGGAGATTAAGTATCAAATGGCTTGTTTATAATATTATTGCTTTTTAAAAGTGAAAAGTGATTCTAAGTGAGTGTGAAGTGCTATAAATTGTTATTTTGTGATGTTTTCGTCTTACATGCTAATTGTTTTGCCTTGAGGTTATATCATATTTCTTATGTGAATACTAATGTCTGATAATGTTTTTAAAGCCTTTTTTCCCTTTAATGTGAGGGTGGTATAATTTATTAAGCCAGAGTTTGTCTTGATTAATTTTGACATCAATAAATGTTTATGAAAACGGTAAAAACAACCAACCACAGTTATTTTCTCCTTATAATCCACCTCTTCATTTAAAATGTCTTTTATACATTCTATAGCTTGTGACGACTGTTGTAAGAGATGCTGTTATAGCACGCCATTCTATGCACTCTTTGCTCTCATTATGATGAGTATTGGAGCTATTGGCTTTGTAGTGTCAGCAGTATACGGTATTGTCACCATTAGCACCACTTCTGTCCTCTCACAGAAGTAAATAACTTGTTATGGTTGAAATGAGAGGGAAAGTTTGTGGATAGAGGGTTTTATTATGATAGCTTAAAATTATATTATCTCTTATTCTTATAGTGTGGTTATTTTTGCTCCTGTCATTGGTGGAATCATCATATTAACAATCTTCCCAATACTCTTCTCTACCATAATGTCCTACTGTGTAACTGGTTACATAAGGGATGAGCTCTTTGCTAGTATTGTCAAGAAATTCATTGGGCCTGTCTGCAGTTTCTGTGTAAGTATGTAGCTTTAGCTTTTTGTTATTTTCATTTGTTTTTTGCTTTCAATATTTGTGCATTTTCTAAACACTAGTATTTGCCCTGCATAATAAACTCATCAAACCACAATCAAAATGTATTTCCATTGGGAGACAGCTCAAATAGCAAATGTTTAATAGTTGCTTGGATTGCTAGTATAGCACATAGAATCTCTATTAATTCAATGTTATGTATATGCTTGCAATTATGTATAATTATAAATTTATTACAGTACAGAATACCTAATAGACGAAATGATAATGTACTTATTAATACTTTTAAAGGAAGCTATGTACAAACAAACTTGTCATATTAATAATACACTTAGAGACAACAGTGCTAATATAGACTAACGACATATAAACCAATTAAAGGATTTGTTGGTCATAGAAATGTGCATGCACTTACAAAGCTGATTAGACTGTTACATGTTTAGATATTTGTATACACACACATGTGAACACACCCATGCAGGCATACACACAGATCTCTCTCTCTATAGGAGATGTATAGTTATTATTATACATACATCTTATTGTTTGTATTATCAATTAGTTATAATATTACACAAATATGTGATGTATTCCCAGTCCGCTGGATGGTTACAGCTGCCATAATGATTGCACATTTTTGCCATTGTTTGTTTGTTTAGTACACAAAATAATCCAATGGTTACTATTTATACACCAAATTGCTCTTTCTCACAGCTCTCACTTTAATTCCTACTACTAATTCTCTCTCGATCCTCTTCCCCTCCTTTAGTCTGTAGGTCTTAATTTGATGTGTCTTTGTTTCTGGTTGTTGCTCACGGTTGCTCTCAGTGCGTTGTTGACTGTATCAGTCCAGCTGAGGCTAGCTTGCAACGAAGAATCCATTGAATGCCTGCCTAGTACCAGTAAGTAATGAACTTATACAAGTATAGTAATTATTGTACTTCATAGACTATACATTTATTAATCAAGTATGTGGTTCTGATTTGGCAGAGCTCTGTGACAAGGTAATAATAGGAATAATTAATGAATTACGTATTACCCTATGGTATAGGGTAATGATGCTGGAGTAGCTTTTGTTGTTACACTAATATTTACTCTCATCATCATCTTTGCAATGGTAAGTCTAATATTATACGTAGTATTTAATGGTTGTTTTTTTTAAGGTGTTGACACTTATGATACAGAGTGCCAACTATGTCAACGCTAGAGAGAATATGGAGTATAGAAGATCATACCAACCGCGTAATGTCCCCAATAGCAGTGAATATGCAATGAAGAATGTTCACTGATGATGATTAATAATATATAATATTAGCATGAATGTACTGACTGACTTTTAACAGCTGACTGGACTATTGTTATTACTCTTTTCTTTTCTATTTCCCCCAAAAAACTGATTTTTTTCTAATGACTCAATATTATTATTGTTATTGTTTATTATTATTATTACTAATCAAACATGCCATGAATTGTATTTGCTAATGTAATTCTTTTGTGTTTTAAACACTTTTAAATTTGTTCCTCATTACGAATGATCCACTATGTGTGATTATTTTTGTCTATTTTTTTCAATAAATATAAAAACCCCAGTACTCAAAAGTATATGTATTGTCTGTATAGCAATCGTTGTATTGTGTTTTTTACCTATAGAATTTAGTTCATCTTAAACTCTTTCCACTTCAAATCCTTTCTTTCTTCAATACTGGTATTACTGTCAATATTGAGTTCCAAGGCATTCAGAGAAGAGAGGAGTTCCTTTGATCTATCATCAGTTAGTGAAGCCATCAACAATTCATCTCTCACTAAACTAATGTTTGAATGATTGACAAAGTTAGCAGAAATGGCTAAAGATGCTTCCAGATTATCGACCTGTAATAGAAATAGATTTGTCACATGTCCAAATAATGCAAAAATTGTAATTAGAACAAGCCCAAATTTTTTACATAGCACAGTGTCAGAAAATTTAACTAAAATTAAGGGCCAATTTTTGGAAAGAACCATATGCTACAGCCATTCTTTTTTTAATTGGCTCATTTTTGAAAATGCCCATAACACAAAAAGTACTTATTGGAATCAGTTCTACACAGCATAAGGACATCAATATGTATCAGAAAATGTAATAAAAATTTAAGATAAATTTTTAACCATTTTTTGAAAAAAAACTCATGGGTCATATAGATAGATCTAGCCTTGCTTTTTTCAATTAGCTGATTTTTTAAAATGGCCATAACTCAAAAAATATTTGTCGAAAACAGCTCAAACTTGCTACACAGCATAGGGACATCAATATGTATCAGAAAATGTAATAAAAATTTGGGGTGATTATTGAGCCATTTTTTGGAAAAAAACATGGGCTATATAGCCTTTGCTTTTTTCAAAAATTGGCCAATTTTAAAAAATGGCCATAACTTGAAAAAAAATTGTTGGAAACAGCTCAAACTTGCTACACAGCATAAGGACATCAATGTGTATCAGAAAATGTAATAAAAATTTGAGGTGATTTTGAAGCCATTTTTTGGAAAAACCATGGGCTAGATCTATAATAGCCTAAAACTTGGCTCATTTTAAAATCATCATAACTCAAGCAATTTTTATTTTATTAAAACCAGCTTGAACTTATACATAGCATCTAGATAACATAAGGAAAAAGTTGAGGGCCCAATTCTTGAAAAAAATATTATCATAATTTTTACTTGATGTGGTGAGCCTGCTGGAACAAACAGAACCTCTCCTGGCTCAAGGATGCATTCCATTGGATGTGTCATTGCAACCAGAGGATAATCCCCTTTGCTGTTCTTCCCAGTGAGAGGTTAAATACTGGATCAGATGAATGAAAGTGATATTGTGGTGATTACATCTAATCATGCAAGCACTGTGAACAATAACCACAGTTAACCATTGATAACCACAGTTGATGGTGGGCATCCACTATGCAACTTTTTTGCCAGTGCCTTTGATGTGGATGAAGACATGGTCCTCTTAATAAAAAGGTGAGGCAAACATTCAAAAGACAATGGAAGAAATTAATGCCAAGCATCCTCCTCAACAAGGCTGATGATTGTACTGAAATCATTGCTCTTCCTGTTTGCATTCTCAACATTGAAATGCCTCAATCACTCAGTGAGAGAATTGAATTTTCAAATTTTAATACTAGAGAAGAGGAACTGTCCACTTTTCAGTATGAAATGAACACTGATATTATGATTATTGATTTGGAGGAAGACAAAAATGATAAAAACTGTGAGACAGTAATTATAAATAAGTGATTGTAATTATCATTTTATCGTCATCCCAATTCTCATTTTATTAGGAAATTAACTTTGCTGACGAGACAAAGAAATTAATTTAGTAGGTTATTATCATAATTATATGTTGCAAAAATTATAATACTTATAATAGATCTACATATATCTCTATTGCAAACAGTTAGGAAACATGAGTGATATGGAATGATTATTTGTCATTTTTAACATCTGTGGACTCTACTCATGCTAATCCAACAAATTGTGACAAGCATTCCATCTAACTAAATCTACAATTTGTTAAATTTGTTATCATAAAAGCTTTGCCACATGAAAGTGTTTCCATAGTTTCAAAGGATCTAAAATGATGCTTATGATGTGGTATGGATCATTGCTTCTTTTCTTTTTGCTAAAAAGTAAGCTGTTGTTAATACTTTTGCCATTACAAAATAAATTCAGTTAGCTATAGTTCAGATGAATGCACAGAAAGGTTTATGGAGCTTTCATTACTAAACTACACAGCAGAAAGAATAGGAATAGATCCAACTGAAACCTACATGTATGCTGGTAATAATACACTAAGAGTCCTTCAAGAGTATCAGTTCAATTGTTCATCTTCTAATATAACCAGTCTTATATTGGGCATTAATATAAGGAGAAGCGGTAGGGACCGTAAACTATTTCCTGGTGTTCGAGTCTTTAGACCTAATGGCAGTGCATCAAAGAAATATTCTCTAGTGACTGGTAGCGAGAGATCTGTTTATTACTCTACCTCTAATGTCAGTACTGATACTGGAGGGTATGAATATCCACTCAATCCTCCTATACCAGTAATGAGCGGAGACCTGTTAGCTGTATCACAACCGGAATTGGCAAACAGTGTTGTTAGAATCTATTTTACTAGTACTGAGGGCATCAGATTCATCAGCAGCCAAAACATATCCATTGGGTCTTCTTCAACTGTTAATTTTAATGATTCTGTTGACGACCAGTTGATATTAGTATATCCAGTAACAGGTAAGACACACACTCACTGTATCATTGAATTATTTTACTATCATTAGATGGATACTGTGTTAATAGTACCAATTCAATCAATACTTCATTTATTAAAGAGAAAGCACTTGAAGCACAAATATCACAAAGGATTCCTGTCGAAAGGCAATTCCTTTTTCCAGAGGTTAATTTCAAATGCAATGGATCAGTTTTAAAATGGGTTTTTGGAGGCAAGCGCATCAATCAGGAACCTCCAGAACACATCGAATTACAAGTATGGCGCAAAATAGGCAATAATTACACTAAAATAGGATTTAGTTTAGTTAATGCTAATACAATGATTGGTACTAATCTCTATGAGTTTATTCCTCAGACTCCACTGCAGTTCCAGGAAGGAGACATATTTGGCATTTATCAAGGTAATAGATCTAGATTTCTTTATGACCAAAAGTATAATGGCCCAGAAAACTTACGCAGCATTGGAACTCTCAACTCTCCTCCACAAACAATTAGTACAGGAGAACTTAAAGATAGCGGTAACGATTTCCCATTAGTCACTGTGGAAATAAGTAATATGCCCACAACTAGTGCACGTCCTCCCTCCGTCCCTCCCTCCCCCTCTCACTCCCTACCAAACAACAAGGTTCTAATCACTATTCTACCACTAACTGTCCTATTGATATTAGCTGGAGTGCTTACTGCTGCATTGTTAATTACTATAACTGTCTATTGCATAAAAAAAAAAAAGAAGGGAAAAACAAATAGTAGGAGTTTTCCAAATAATGACAGTTTAAGTATCTTCAGAACCTCTATAAATTTTGGTACTTCTAATCCTTTATATGACAATCCAGATGGTATGAAAATCATATTTTATAATATTCACATATGCAATGTTAACTTTTAATATACAGGTGTGTATGAGCCAACAATGCCAGTTCCTTATCCTCAAATTCCTTTACCTCCAATACCAAATGAGGATCCAGATGTTGTTGTAGAGGCATACAAACAACCTAATGAAGGAGTTTATGAAGCTGGATTAGCCACTACAGCTGTGTATCCCACAGTGAGTGACCACAATTAATTGCATTGTAAACATGGAATGCAAATGAGTTCAAATATTTGAATACAATAGTACTAATGTTTTGAACAATGTTTTAATGCAGGATACGATTGAAAGTGCTTATAGTACACTAAATAGGAATGAGCCCAATGCTGTGAGTTAGTATATACAGTGAATTTACCAAATATAATATAATTTATTATAATTGTGCTTTTATAGTTTCATGAAAGAGAACAACTACATGTAAATAGTGCTACAATTGAAGAGGAACATTTGCATGAGGTAGTCTGCATGCATAAACACACTAATATCGAATTTGTACAGGATAAAAAAGACTTACTTTTAAAAAGTAAACAAGAGTTTTTTATCGAAGAGCCTGATTACTGGGAACCAGAAGAAGACTATGGTGGCATATACCAAC